TTCACATTTGCTATAGCTTATGCACCCTGCATGAACCCCCATATCTTTAAGACTAAAGAAGTGGCACCTGCCTGTGTATCCATATATTTTTCTAAAAGCCAGCAAATGGCTAGCCATATGCTCTCAAATGATATAACTAGAATGCACTGGAATTTCGGCCACCGAAACATATCGGCCAAAAATAGCCCTATCGGCATTTTGCAGATAGGAAAAATGTAGCCAATACAGGGGACTGTGTGTACTGCAGATGAGGGGGGCTGAGAGAGGCAGGAGAGGACCAGTGTATACAGTGACCGGCTGTCACTATGGGGTTTATTTACTAAAGCTGGAGAGTCCAAAATCAGACTCCCTTCTGCATAGAAACCAATCAGCTTCTAATCTCAGCTTGTTCAATGAAGCTTTGGCAATGAAACCTGGAAGCTGATTGGTTTCTATGCAGAAGGGAGTCTGATTTTGGACTCTCCAGCTTTAGTAAATAAATCCCTATATGTCAGTGCTGGTTTTTAAATGAAATTACCGGCTTTTTTTTTTTTCCTCACTATAGTTCACAGAATTAGCTGTCACTTTGCCCCCAGCTAAAAGAAACAAAGTTTCTTTTTAGTTTATTTCCGAGATAAAAGAAACAAAAGTTTCCTTTAGCTCTGGGGAAAGTGACCGCTAATTCTGTGAACTATAGTGAAAAAAAAAAAAGCTGGCATTTGCATTTAAAAACAGGCATTGACATAGTGACAGCCTGTGAGGGAGCCTCTCTGTATACACTGCTCCTCTCCTGCATTGGTCTGTTATTTGATAGCAATAAAGTCATAAGATAAAAATATACATGAAAGTAGAAAAAAACAAAACAAATTGGAGCCTCCTCACATACGCAGACGTTTTTGGTTCGGTTTTCGGCCACATGCATTCTAAATTTTTGGTATCTGTTTCGGCAGCAGAATTTTCATTTCGGTGCACCACTAGTTATAACACTTGATACTGTAGTTATCTAGGTAATTCATCTTAAAGAGACTGTCCGCTTATATGAAACTAAAGCTGCTGACTGGTATTAAGTGAAGCCCTGTACTGTACCTGAATTAGCTTTGCTACCTCTTCCTTAAGCAATGGCCTGTTCACGCATGCAATGTGCCAGCATTGCCTGGAATAGTGATGTCCCCTACTTCACCCCATTGGCCCATTGCTATGATAGCTTGCCTTGCTGTCCCATAGGAATATGCAGGGGGTGGTCAAGGAGCATAGCAGAGCATCCTTGCATTTGAGCAAAGCAGAGGGTACTGAAAACTATGTAGACACATGCAGCACCTCTGGGTCCAAGCTGGACCAATTAAAAACTATATAAAAAATATCCATGCCTGTTATTCTTCTTTAAAGGAACTGTCTCTTCAAAGGATAAATGCAATCACCTAATATTCATTAAATCAAAAGGATGTAAACTATAAACTTTCCACTTTTCCATTTCTGCCAAGTTAGATTTTCTCTGCAGTCACATGCAGACTGTGAGCTTTCAGCTTTTATCATATATAAGGCATCCCTGAGATCCTAAGATGTCTATTCTGTATAGATCTAGCTTATAATTGCAATGAATTGACATGGATTGTACATATATCTGAGAGGATGCTGAGAATGCCATGTTTCCTACACCCAAGGGGAAATCAGCCCATCTCTACTTTTTTTTTTTTTTTTGTTAACCACTTCAGCCCCAGAAGGTTTTACTCCTTTCCTGACCAGGGCATTTTTTGCTATTTGGCACAGCGCTATTTCAAGTGGTAATTGCACGGTCATGTAATGCTGTAACCAAAAAAAAATTTATATCTTTTTTTTTTTTTTTTTTTTTTTTTTTTTTTCCAAACAATATAAATGAGAAATTTTAAAGAAAAAAGTTATTTTCTACTTTGTTATAACAAATATCCAATCAACTCAGATTTCTTCATAAATGTAGGCCAAAACGTATTCTGCTTGGTTAAAAAAAAAAAAAAAAAAAACCCAACAAGTGTGAATTGGTTTGTGTCAAAGTTATTATGTCTACAAATAGGTACATATACTGGAATTTACACAGCTTTTACTTTCTGACTGCCTTGAAGTGCTAAAATGCCAAGGCAGTACAACAAAACCCCAAATGACATCTTTTTGGAAAGTACACCCCAAGAAATTTGCTGAGAGGCATGTGGAGCCCATGGAAAATTTTTATTCATATTTTTTTTTTTTTTTTTGTCACAAGTTATAAAAAAACAAAACAACAATTATTTATTTAATTTTTTTTTACACAAAGTTGTCAACTGATATATTGCTCGCACATGTCATGGATATATGTGGAATTACACCTCAAAATACATTCTGCTGCTTCTCCTGAGTATGAGGATTACCACATGTGAGACTTTTTTTTGGAAGCCAAGTCGCGCACGAGGCCCGAAAAGCAATGACCACCCTCAGGCGTTCAAATGGCGTAGTTTTCTCATTTCCCTTCCTCACTGCCTATCACAGGTTTCAGAGGTTCTGAAATCCAGGATAATCCAACTCTCTCCACCCCAAAATGACACCTTTTTGGAAAGTAGACACCTCTAGGAACTTCATAATAGGCATGGTGAGTATTTTTGCAGAGGGTTTTTTTTTTGGTCACAAGGTTTTGAAAAATAAAAAAGGAAAAATACATTTTCCTTTTCTTTCTTTTTGCAAAAACGTTTCCAAAATGAGATCTGAAAAATACTCACCATGCCTCTCAGCAAATGGCTTAGGGTGCCTGCTTTTCAAAAAGGGGTCATTAGGGGGGTGTTTGAACTGTACTGGCATTTTATGCCCATATTTAGAAGCTTCCGCCACACATTACCCACATTTCTATCCAGTTGAAGACCAAGCCTTTTCTGACCCTTTTTATTTACATGAAAAAAACAAAATCTGTATTTTTGTTGAAAATTACTTTGATCCCCCAAACATTTATATATATTTTTTAAAGCAGAGGCTCTAGAGAATAAAATGGATGATGCAATTTTTTTATGTTACACAGTATTTGCGCAGTATTTTGTTTTTTATTTTTACGCAATTTCTTTTTAATGTTAATGCACAAAAACACAATATATTGCACAGTTGTTTGGTAAAATATGACGTGCTTTAAAATGCATGCCCATGCAATGAGGACAACTATGTAAATTTTTAATATCCATGGGCGATGCTTTAAAAGCCTTTATAGATTTACACAGGAGGTATAGTGTTAGAATTACTGCCCTTGAGCTGACGTTCGCGATGATACCTCACATGCATGGTGTAATCGTTGTTTACATACCACCATGGGACCAATGTGTGCGTTTGCCTTTTTTTTGCGAGCACGGGGGACAAATTTTTTTATTTTTATGCTCTCCTTTTTTAATCATTTTTATTGTTATCACAGGGAAAGTAAATACTTTTCTGAGAAATGTGAGGTCTAATTAGACTCTAGATTTCTCCTCTGCCCTTAAAGCATCTGATCATACCAAGATCAGTGTGATCAGATGCTTACCCAATTTAAAAATGGCGCCATTTATATCTGGAGAAATCAAAGTTTTGGTTTCTTAGACCATAGGGATGACTGGGAGCTGTTCCGGTCTCTGATTTAGCTCTATGGTCAGCAGGCAGAAACCGCCAGCTGCATTCTCAGGTTCCCTGGCAGGACGGGAGAGCCTGAGAAAGCCGTAAAAGGCGACCAGAAGGGGCAAAGGGGGATCTTGCTTGTAAAAGCAATTCAGTGGCTAATTAGAACATGAACTAGAAAGCCGACTGCTGTTGGCTGAAAAAAAAACGATACCAGGATGATGCCTGCAGCTGCATTCATCATCCTGGTTTAAAGTGGCAGTAAACTCCTCTCCTATCACTTTGGCACATATAAATTAGCATTAAAAGCACTATTAATCTCTACTCCGATGTCACCTTCCTTGTAATCCATCCTGTTTTCTGTAATGACGTCACCAGTGCATGCGCATCTCTCCTGCGATTCTCAGCACACTTTGTGCCATCGGTCCATTGAGCAGTATGCTGTAACCATCATATCTGCTCCCTGTGGCACTGTGCTCCAATACCGCGTGACTACATTCTCAACCACAGAACTAGAGGGAAGCTTGGCTAAGAAATGATTGTGCAAGATTATAGCAATGGTTATATGAAAGTATTTTTTCTACGGACATGAAAAACACTTAAGATGGCACTGGCTAATCCTGGGAGGAATGAATTTTCCAAACCTCTTAAACACAGTAAGGAACATTCTATTGGAGCTAAATTATAATGTATAATGTGTTAGAATTTAGTATAATGGCACAAATAAAAAGCATCATAGGAGGAGGAGAGTTTACTACTGCTTTAACCACTCCTAGTCCAGCGACCTACCAGTTTTTGTTTTTTTTTTTTCGTTTTTTTTTTTCTTCTGTCAAAATATTTGGTGGTAGACACTTGACAGATTCTGTCAATGACTGTCAAGATCTGTTTTGGTGCTTGTTTAAACAATTCTAACCTGTGTTTATAAATGAGTTCTATAGATTTTTATAATATCGGATTACGTTAGTCATTTTGTAATCTGTCTCCATTTCAGCTTTACATTTCTGATTTTGTAGAAGTAAATTTATCCAAAAGCAGACGTTGACTTGTAGATATTTCAAACAACCACCATGTATATAAATGCCGTATCCACTGTCACTATTTTTTTTTCATTTATTTATTTTTTCCCCTCCTAGGTTCTAGGAAGATGTTGTGGATAATTGTACATCAAGTACTTGTGATACAACTAATTCTTTAATACAGTCCTTTTAAAACTGTCACTGGATTGTACTCGTGGACCTTTAGAAGATGGCATCTGAACTATTTTGGATCAGTGTTTATCGGCCGTATTGTGAATAGTGTTGCTGACGCCTTAGAAGCTACTACGTGGACCTGCTTTTTACATTTTTAGAGCCAACACCTCAATAGCATTGAACTTTTTTTTTTTTTCTTAACATAAATCATTGACTTTGCCTTTGGATCCCTGTATACATTAATGGAATGCAATCATGTCTGTCCAGGACGAACGGCAGATCAATACTGAATATGCAGTTTCTCTTCTTGAGCAGCTAAAACTGTTCTATGAGCAACAACTACTAACGGACATAGTATTAATTGTTGAGGGCACTGAATTTCCATGTCACAAAATGGTTCTTGCAACATGCAGCTCTTATTTCAGGTGGGTGGAAATTTTTACATTACATACACATTAAAAGTTGCATTTTGCAGAGTACAGCAGAAAACCTTTCTTTTTTTTTTTTTTTTTTTTTTTTTTTTTTAAACCTGCAACATTATTATTTTTAAGGCCTTATTAATGATTCTTTAATGCTTGTGTCATATGTTCTAGTTGCCAAACAGGAAACAAGTGGCTCCTATTGCAGGTGTTATCAGCTCCCTAGAGCCCAACTCCAGGCTGTTTTTTAAATGTACCATACAGTGCTGTCCCAGACCGGAGGGGGTAGGGGGGAGGAGGAATAAGTACAAATACTTGCTTTATTGCTTGTTTTCCTGCAGGCTTTATCCTGTTCATGCGACCGGTCTCCTGCCAGTGAGCAGAGGGCACACCTGGACTGGAACTCTTCAAGATTGCCATAATGCATTACAGGATGTAGTGAAATGGCTCTATAAGGAGTGCAGATATCAGAGATATTAGTATCTAAGGAATCCTGTTTTGTGGTTTAAATGTTGGAGTGGCAACTTCACGTGTAATTTACCTCGCCTACCTGAGCGTTCAACTATGAGGTTTTTTTTTTTTTTTTCAGCATCGTTGTGGATGACAAGTGATCTAAGCGTGTAAGGCACACTATCTGGGGATCCCATATTCCTTGTGGATCTGCCTTTTTGGTCTAGGATGCAAGGGGTGCTCACTCACTGTGTTTTAAACAATGGATTCTGATAGTACTGGTCTCTATGTATGCCATTCCATATTTCTCCTGAAGTTTGCAAAACATGTCGAACCCAGTTGTTCTAAAGGATATTTTTGTAAATGAAAATTATACGCATGTTGTACTTTAGCTGCTCTGTGAAATGGTATTATATAGAGCGCTCCATTACTTTCTCTTCTGGGGACTTCCACCAACGTTCTCTTTTCCTTTTTTTGCCTGAGCCCCCATAGTAAGCTGTGTGTGTTGAAAGGCACACATGCAAATGCACTTCTTAGTTGGGCTGTGTGCAACACACACTCACACACACTCGCACACCCTCTTCATAGTATTTGACTGACAGCAGCAGGAGCCAATGGCTTTTAAAACTCATTTCTCACTTGTAAGCTCTGCTCTTTGACCTATATCAGCTTTGACCTTAGTCTTAATCAAATTGTGGTGAAATGGGTTAATTCCCTTTTTTAAAGGGATCTCTCCACTGTGGCAGTGGACCCTTTCCTAATAGAGTGCATTGAACAGATGTCTGGAGTGCTATGCTTCAGCTGTGATGGCCTGCTGGAAGCATCTAGGCTTGTCTTGTACAGGTCTGTTGTCTATACATATGTGTAGAGCACTCTGGTTAAGATGCTATGAGGCAGACTCTGCATCTAAGGTTCCCCTGATTCATTTTAGTCTTTTGAGAAATGCTGTCTCTGTGGTCCTTTTTTATTTGACTTTTTAATCAGAGATATAACTGCTGATCAATATCCCACCAGGACACTGACTTTTCTGTCTCACCTCCTGCACACCTAATATTCTTCAGGGTTGACTTCAGTGTCTGCCTTAGCATCTTCTCATAGCATCCCCATTGTGCAAGACTCATACAGCAACTGATCTCTCCACAGAGTTTTGTCTATCTTGGTGGATAACTCTTCTTTGATATTCCTCAAGCCTCTAAGATTCAACTGGATCATACTATGTTTGTATTAGGTGGATGAAGCTGCTCTTTGCCTGCAGACAGTTTGACAGTTTTAGAAGCAGTCTTCCCTAATGCCTCCCTCCCTTGGTTAAAAGTGGTTCTAAAGTCTGTGTTCTTTACATTGCAATAGGTTAAACTCCAAACTACTTGTCTCTCATTACTAAACTCTTAACTTCTCTCATGATCCAGTGCTGTCTCGACCACAGCACCATTTTCCCCTGTTTTGTGGTCTCACTTGAGACACAGGCAGCTGCAAGAGCCATAGTCTCTTCTAGCCTACAAAAGTCCTTAATATTACTTTAAAGGAGGTACCCTTTTCTCCTTTCTCCTGTAGAACTAACTGGGCCCTCCCCTCTACTTTAGGGATTTAGTTCCTCAAACTAGTCTGTCTGTGACAATCAGGTAGTCGCTAGCCTGATTAACCACCCTTCCAGTTCGCAGGCTGGTAAATACTCCCATTTCCACTTTTGGGAAGATCCTGTCATTGAATGGTTCCTTTCAACTAGTGATTGCTGGTCTTTGGGGAGCGATTCATATGCCATGGAAGTTGCTGGATGGAGGCATCAGAAGAGTACCCTTAATTCTCTGGGTTATTTGCATGCTGAACAAGATAGCGTCCTGATGCAGGTATTTTCTGGTAGTAACTAGTGCCCTAATGACTCCTGTTTTTGGTTTACCTAGGTAAGTATTCTTTCTTATCCTAATAAGATTGTCTGTCTGTTTCTCCCCGAATCCTAATGCTTCAGAGCACCTAGACCTCTGACTCTGTAAGTCTCCAACATAATGGATGTTGATCTTAGTTCTTAGCTCTATCAAACCTGTATTTCTTTGTGTTCTTTGGTAAGGGGATATACCTGCTGTCCCCTGCCTACTCCAATGTACCTTCCATATTGACGATGCTGACTTTAAGGGATCCAACTTTGGCTTTTTCAAGAGAGTACAGGGACCATCATTGACTCCTTGGCGTTACCACTGAATCTGCATTCTCTGTATTCATACTGGGCAGTCCTTGCTCTGGCAAGATGGATTTCTTGTCTGGTGGTTCTGTTAGTCATGCACCCCTATACTCCTTTGGTCCCAGGGGTTAGGTGAGCTGAGGCTTAGAGTCTAGACTCTGGTCTTCCTTTTCCAGGATGCAGTTTTTCAATTCCTCTGGCCTATTCCAGTTCTTGATGTCGTTTGCACTTAGCCTTTTCCTTCCCTGTTGGGAAGTTGTTCTGTTTGATTCCCTCTTTGGATCACAGAGACCATGCTATGGCCTTTTGTTTAGGGTTCCCTGTACACTGGATCTCCACACTAGTGTGGAATGTTCTTGGTTGTGTATTATTAGGCTTGATTATTTGTGTTGTTACCACCTGGTCTTGCCCTCTTCTTGCCAAGTACGGAGTTTGGCTTTCTCATCTGGTGTAGGCTTCAGGTGTTGGTCCTTTTAAACAGCTCTCGAACTTCATGCAGTTCCCAGTTTATGTTCACTTTGGGCCTGTTGGCAATTGTTTTGCTGTTGCCCATCCCTCAGTTGAACTGGTTCTGGATGTAGCAACAGTATTTGATCTCCTATGTCCCGCAGTGGGCAAGAAAGTAATGGGATTTTGTTTTCCACCTTTTCATGCAGTCCATTAAACACAGGTCCCACCCATCTGAGTTTATGATCATGCTCTTGGTAATGATTGCTACAAAACTGAGGTATGTTGGTAATAGGAGGGGTTGTCCTGGACTGGCCTCTAGATTTTTTTTTGTTTGCCAGTGTCCAGTCCTTCTCTAGGTGGGTCCAAAGTATATTCACAAGGGCCAAATACCTGTGCACATGCATCCCTTGTATGTATGTATCTTCTTGCTAGATGATTATCCAGGTGTAGATGACGGCTATGAATTTCAGCATGTGACCATACACAGGTAGTTGTCTAAAAACATACATCTTTAGTTCTGACAGGTGAATATGAAAACAATTCATTTTAGCAGTAGTAGGACTTGTAAACAACAGTGATTACTGATGCCCACCATACAAAAAGTGTTGTGAACCAAATAACCCAATACTGAAGCTGGCCATATGCGTGTTTAGTTTTCATACTGCCAGCAGACTGAATGAAAAAACACCAATTCCTACATCCACACAATCAAGGTAGATGAAGAAATCTTCCCTGCTGGGACATTGCATTCTGACAGAGGCTGCAGCTGATTGCCTGCAGGAATATTTTCCAACATATCCCTTCAGCAGAAGTTGTTCAAATGGTCAACTTCTTTTGTCACATGGGGATGACCTCCACACTGATTGGAATTTTTTTGATAGAGCACTTTCTGAACCATTTCTTTGCTTCCTTTTGTGTTGCACTACCACTTTGAGGCAAGCTGTAGAATGTGAGTTGACTGTGGCATTCATGTGTTCTTTGCTTGTATGGAATCTGATCTATCTATCTATTGTGTGTTTTTTTTTTTTTTTTTTTTTTTTTTTTTTTTAACTTTTGTTCATTCTTTTGCAGGGCAATGTTTATGAGTGGGCTTAGTGAAAGTAAACAAACACATGTCCATCTGAGAAATGTGGATGCAGCTTCTTTGCAGATCATTATCACATATGCATACACGGGTAACTTGGCAATAAATGAAAGCACTGTTGAACAGCTCTACGAAACCGCATGTTTTTTACAGGTAATGTAATGTACTCTATTTAATTTAACAATTGCATAGCGTGTAAATCATGTTAAAAAAAAGTTTCTAAGTGAATCTTTGGGGACATTTTTGTAATACACACATTTTACTTTTTACCTGCTGAAGTGTTTGTAATCCTCATCTGATATCTCTTGCACATTGCACAGCCAGACAGGTGACCACTTTTTACCTGGTTCCTCAATGTCGTCTTCCTGGCTCAGCTTTGTGACTTATGTCATCTCTCTACCTCCAGTCACTGGATCTGTATCATAATGGACTGAGTTGATGGGCTTTGAGCCTGTTTAAAATAAACAAAAGCCCGTCAACACAGGCTGTTACCTTTTTGTCAAAGGGAAAGTAAGCTGACCAAGGAAGCAGTAGTGGCATTACAGAAAGTAGCAGAGTGATCTCCCTGCCTAATAAAGGTTAGTGCTTTACAGGAAGAGCTGGACATTATGAAAAATCTGTTGACCGGGTTAATGGTAAGCATACAACAAGGGGAATTTATTAACCACCTCCCGTCCAGCCGTTGTATATAAACGGTCGGACGATCACAGTGCAGGGTCGGGTGGCCTCCCTGCACCCTGGTTGTGCGCACTCCCTGGGAGCGTGCAGCACCGCGATCCGGTGCCTGCTGTGTCCTCCGGACACAGTGGAACACCGATTGTCGGACGGGACCTCTGTGCGAGGTCCCGATCATGTGATCACTGATTGGCCAATCAGTGATCACATGCAGCGTAGTAAGCAAGATGTCACTTGCTTACTACGTGTGAAATCTGTGAATGATCAGAGGTCACATGGTACAAGGCTATTCACAAGAGCCTTGTACCATGTGACAAGCTGTGACCAATCACAGTTCACTCAGTAGTTCTCAATGGCTGCAAGAATGCAGCTAGAGAGAAGGAAAACGGATTGCTTTTACATCCTTTATGCGTGTAAAAGAAATCAGTGTTAAAAAAAAAAAAAAAAAAAAAAAAAAGAAATCTTCATCACCCACCCCCCACAAGTAGTATGGTGACACTGTACTGCTAGGGTGACAGTAGGTAAAAAAAAAAAAAAAAAGTAAAAAAAAAGATGTTTAAAAATTATAATTTTTGGTTATAAACTAATTTGGGTTATTGTTTTTACTAAAAAAATAACGGATTACGTTTTGGCCAAAGATTTATGATGAAATACTATTTATTTGCAAAATTGTATAAGAAAAAATGCGCTTTTTCAAAATTTTTGGACTTTTTAATTTACATAGCAAAAAAAAATTAAAATCCTAGTGGTGAATAAATACCACCAAAATAAAGCTTTATCTGTCTCAAAAAAATGATAAATTTATATGGGTACAGTGTTGCATGACCACGCAATTGTCATTTAAAGTGTGATAGCACAGAAAGCTGAAAATTTGCCTGGACAGGAAGGGGATAAAAGTGTCCGGACTGGAAGTGGTTAAAGTAGTTGTAAAGGCTGAAGGTTAAAAAAAAAACCTTTTGTGTAGCCCCTCCCAGCCCTCCTAATACTCACCTGAGCCCGATCTTGGTCCAGCTATATGCAGGAGAGCAGCGGCTCCCCCGGATCTCTGTCTCCTCATTGGCTCAGACACAGCAGCGGAAGCCATTGGCTTGCGCTGCTGTCAGTCACAGCCAGTGAGTAGGGGGTGGGGCCAAGCTGCACTCTGTCTTGTGGCTGCTGAGCGGGGCTCAGGATCAAGCACTCACCAGTGCCCCCATATCAAATGGCTTGCTATGTGGGTACTGCTCAGAGGGGATTAGCCAGAAGCACCAGCAGTGGACCCAAGAAGAGAAGGATCATGGCTGCTCTGTGCAGATCCATTGCACAGAGCAGGTAAGTATAACATGTTAGTTTTAAAAAAAAAAGCCTTTTTAATATCACTTTTATATTTAAAAATTATGGTTTGTTTTCTTTTTTTCTATTCACAGGTGGAAGATGTGTTGCAGCTCTGTAGGGAATATTTAATTAAGAAAATCAATGCCAAAAACTGTGTCCGGCTAATGAGTTTTGCTGACTTGTTCAGCTGTGAAGAATTGAAGCAGTGCGCCAAAAGAATGGTGGAGCACAAGTTTACCACAGTGTACCGCCAGGATGCTTTCATGCAGCTATCTAGAGATCTTTTGATAGACCTTGTGAGTAGTGACAATCTAAATGTGGAAAAAAGAGGAGACTGTGAGAGAAGCTGCAATGTCTTGGTTAGAGTACAACACTGTGTCTCGCTCGCAGTACTTGTCCACTGTTTTAAGCCACCTGCGCATTGATGCTCTTTCAGAGGTCGTTCAGCGTGAGTGGTTCCAAGGTTTGCCACCAAATGATAAGTCTGTAGTAGTGCAAGGACTTTACAAATCCATGCCGAGATTTTTTAAACCAAGGCTTGGCATGACAAAAGAAGAGATGATCATCATAATAGAAGCTGCTCTTGAAAATCCTGGTTGTTATTCCACCATCTGTTACAGTCCTCAGGCAGAGAAAGTTTACAAGATTTGCAACCCACCCTCTGAGCTACATAAAATTGGAACTGTGGTGACTCCTGATAATGATATTTTTATTGCTGGAGGACAGGTCCCTGTAAAAACAACCAAAAGCAATCACAGCAAGCCTGGCAAACTGCAGGCTACTTTCAGGGCTGTGAATAGTTTCTACTGGTTTGATGCACAGCAGAATACCTGGATTCCAAAGACCCCCATGTTATGCGTTCGCGTTAAGCCTTCTTTGGTATGGTGTGACGGCTACATCTATGCAATTGGTGGAGATAGCGTAGGTGGTGAACAGAACAGAAGAACAGTGGAAAGATACGACTGTGAGAAGGATGAGTGGACTTTGATGAGCCCTCTGCCATGTGCATTTTCATGGAGTGTTGCAGTAGTCGTCAACGATTGCATTTATGTCATGGCCTATAACCTAACCTACTGCTACATTCCACGGTCTGGTATCTGGGTAGAAGTAGCTAAGAGACAAACTAGTAGATGCTTTGCTTCTGCTGCAGCCTTTGATGGCAAAATCTTCTACCTCGGAGGTCTGCAAACAGACAACAATTCAGGCGTGTGGCTCCCATCCAACACTTTGGATGGTTCTTCCGTAGCTGTTGAAATATATGATGTTCATAAGAATGAATGGTATATGGCAGCCAGTATACCCGCCAAACGCTTTGCTGATCCCTGTGTTCGAGCAGTGGTCATATCCAGTTCCTTATGCGTCTTTATCAGAGAGACACATATGAATGAAAAGGCAAAATATGCCATCTATCAGTATGATATGGACCTGGACCAGTGGTTTCTGCGGCAGCAGATATCAGAGCGTGTCCTTTGGGATTTGGGGAAAGAGTTCCGGTGCACTGTTGGGAAGTTATACCCTTCATGTCTAGAAGTATCTCCTTGGAAACCTCTAACGCATGTTTTCTCACAAGATGGTGCAGATGACTTTGAGCTTGATGGAAACATGGCTACATTACCCCCTGTATAGCTGGCTGCAAGTCTACATGTATGCATGGATCTCCTGTTTCCTCAATGAACTATTCTGTTATGGAAGTGGGCTGAGAAATATGTTTGCACCGCTTACTTTTTTCAAACTTTTTTATTTTTATGCCCTGCTTAACATTTGTAATCTATAATGCATTTATATAAGGATATGCTTCCATTATCAGGAATAATTGACAAGCTAATGGAAAACTGTTCATTATGCTAGCCTTAGCATCTGGTTTACCAAGAGCAATTCATTTGTATCCCTGTGATGCCCCCCTTCCCCATTCACATATTGGAGGGAAAAAAAAATTTGTGACCCAAAAGCTATTCTTGGGACTGTAAATATAGATGCTTTGTTGGGAAATCTTCCATTATCTATATTCCTTTTCCTTAACAATCCAATTGATGTGCTGGATTATACATACAAACATGCAGTGTGACCTGATTCTACTATGTGTATCTCCAGGGATAAAGTGTTTACTTAAGAGACTTTTACTTTTTCTAAACTTCAAGATTGTCTCTTCATATATACTACTGTATAAATAGCTTTTCTTTTGCATACTATATACTCCTAAAAGAGGCGTAATCTTTGTTGTGTGATATCATCTCCAGAAAACATATCTCAAGCCTTGGATTCTTTAAGTGCTGAAAATAAACAAAAACCATGTGTTTTTCAAGCGACCCACAGCAAGCTTGACTTGGAAGCGGTAGAGGAAATATGCAGACAACCTGCAGGTTTTATTTTTTACAAAGTGATGTATCACCAAAGTCCCACTTTAACATGTAATCTATATTATATATATATATATATATTTTTTGCTAAACTATATCTTTCCCGTTGCGGGAAATGTAGTATCTCATTTGATAACACAGGTCAATACAATGACTGCGGGTTCAGTCAAGCTGTACAAGGAGCATGTGTTTCTCTTAAAAAAATAAATAAAACAAAAACCTGTACCATTCTGTTGTAGAATACAGGTCTTCCAGTATGGCCTTGTAACGTTCATTCTGGCGTAACTGGGCATCCAACGTATTTGCCAGCCCCTCGTAGTACGGGTCCCTGTGGAGCTTTAACCCTTTACTGCTGCCTTACAGTGAAGGGATTAAATAGATAGAGCATTCACCTTCTATAATAGTGGTGTCTGCTCACTCACAAAAACCCTGCTGCTGATTTTATTTTTCTTTCCCTTCCCTGACTTGTACATTGTTATTGTTGAATTACCAGGTCTTATTTCATTTTAACTTAACAAGCATTTACTGTAGTGTGATTGTGTATTGGTATACCCTATATATATATATATATATTTTTATTTTTTTTTCTGGGGAAGGGAAAAGAACTGTTCAGGAATAAATACCTTGGCACTCTAGTGCATGAGAGAGCAGATATCTTGTGCTGCTCTGGCATTACTATCAATCCCAGGAACCACTAGCAGTAGAGGGGCACTGTCGCCAACTTAACATGAGCACAGGTGCTTCATGACAAACCCTACTAGCATGTTCAGCTGCATTATGTTTTGGCACTGTATTTTGAATGAAATTAATTTATTAAAAAGCAAATTAAAATTAATGATGTGTTATGCATTTTACTGTAACTCAATTATTTTTGAAGACTTTTTTTTTTCTTTCAATGGTCTGAATTGTATTTGGTCATATTTGTTTAGAAATGAAGTATTTTGTGTACCACAACTACTTACCTATGTATTATGTAAAATCAAAGTTGATTGCCCGTTATCCAGTACACATATTGATATGGTAAAAAAAAAATACTGTAATAAAATGTTCGCTGAACTATTTCAGCAATGAACCTCTAATATTAAATAAAATCCCCAGTTTCTGTTGGGGTACCCCAAGGCTCTGTCCTTGGACCCCTCCTATTCTCTCTCCATACCTTTTTCCAGGACCAGTTGATAACCTCCCATGGTTTCCAGTACCACCTCTGTGCCACCGCCACCCAGATCCATCTGTCTACTCTCCGTCTCCTCACATATCATAAATTTACTGACGGACATATCCGTATGGATGTTGCACCACTTTCTCAAACTCAGTCTTTCTAAAACTGAGCTTATAATATTTCCTCCTTCATGATTCCCCCTGCCCCCCAATGAATTTACCATTGAGATTAACAGCACAACCATTGGTTCCTCCACCCATGCCAGGGTGTAATCTTAGACTCTGACCTCTCCTTCGGCCCCCACATTTAATCATTGGCTAAATAATTTCCAGAATTTGCCCCTTCCTAATGATACCATAAAACTTTATTTACTACAACTGTCTTCTGCAATTCCCTCATCACTGGCCTACCTTTGCACAGGCTATCCCCCCTCCTTCAAACTATTATGAATGCTGCTGTTAGACTAATACACCTACTAACTGAACTGATGATTTGTGAGTGCTGCCCTCTAATACACCTTACTGATTTGTGAGTGCTGCCCTCTAAGCTTACACCTTACTGATACACCTTTGATTTGTGAGTGCTGCCCTCTAATCTTAATTTGTGACTGCCCTCTAATACACCTTACTGATTTGATTTGTGAGTGCTGCCCTCTAATACACCTTACTGATTTGTGAGTGCTGCCCTCTAATACACCTTACTGATTTGTGAGTGCTGCCCTCTATACACCTTACTGATGATCTGCCCTCACTGGCTTTCTGACTAGCCCTCATACATATAACATTCAGAATACTACACCTTACTGATTTGTGAGTGCTGCCCACTAAACATACAAAGCCATTCACAACATTGCCCTCAGCTACATCACCAACCTCATCTGCAGATATTGGCCAAATCGTCCTCTGCTCCTCCCAAGACATCTTGCTCTCTAGCTCCCTCGTCTGCAGGACAAGAATACCAGAACCCCTCCCATCCTTTGGAGATCCTTACCTCAGTATGTCTGGTCAGCTCCTAACCTGTCTGCCTTTAGACGATCCTTGAAAACACAGTTATTCAGGTAAGCCTACTCCACTTCCACCTAAGTCACTTCCACCAGATCATCCCATGCAGCTATTACATTTTGTACCGCCTGATCCCTTTTAGATGGTATGCTCCATGAGCAGGGCCTTCCTATTCCTTCTGTATTTTACTTGCACTTGTACTGTCCCCCTTTATATTGTAAGGCGCTGTGCAAACTGTTGGCGCTGTATAATAAGTGCAGTCTGTCATCTTATGTGTGCTGAGGCTATAAAACACAACTTTGTGATCACTTCTGTGACATATAACACAGCATTCCAGTGATCAAGTCTCCATTTAAGCTGGCCACAGATGGATTGAAATTCAGTAGAGCAGCAGGGACTGGATGAATGTTTAATCATCTATGGCTGGTCCTGTTTGAGAGCAGTCAATCTACTGATTGCTCATGAACAGGCTTGCTTGAAAACGTAGATCAATCAGAGCCGTGGCGCTGATCCATTATATTCTGACAGAAGAGGAGTCTTGCTGACTCGTCTGCTGTCAGAATAATATAGCACAGTGGGGAGGGTTCCCCCAAACACCTTGATTTGTGTGGATAGGGGTATCCGTTCATATTTTTTTTTTTTTTGCCTACTGGCTGAGCGTTTTCTGTGTATTGGCTTTCTTTGTGTGAAAGACCTCACTTTTACCTACTTTCTGCTTTCAAACTGACCATGCTAGGTGTTTGTGTGTATAATAAATAAATATATATATATATATACATTATTTTTGTTCATATTCACACACTATATTGCCAAAACTATTGGATTCAGGTGTTCCAATCGCCTCCATGGCCACAGGTGTGTGCAATCAAGCACCTAGGCATGCAGACTGCTTCTACCACTGTTTGTGAAAGAATGGTTCGCTCTCAGGAGCTCAGTGAATTCAAGCGTGGTACTGTCATATGTTGCCACCTGTGCAATAAGTCCATCCGTGAAATTTCCTTACTACTAAATATTTCACAGTCAACTGTTAGTGGTATTATAACAAAATGAAAGCAACTGGGAAAAAACAGCAACTCAGCCATGAAGTGGTAGGCTATGTAAAATGACAGAGCGGGGTCAGCGCATGCTGATGCACACAATGCGCAGAAGTCACCAACTGTCTGCAGAGTCAATAGCTAAAGATTTCCAAACTTCAAGTGGCCTTCAGATTAGCACAACCGTATGTAGAGAGCTTCGTGGAATGGATTTCCATGGCCGAGCAGCTGCATCCAAGCCTTACCTTTACAGTGGAATGCAAAGCGTCAGTTGCAGTGGTGTAAAGCACGCACTGAACTCTAGAGCAGTGGAGACGTGTTCTCTGGAGTGACAAATCACGCTTCTCTGTCTGGCAATTCGATGGACTTGTCTGGGTTTGGCAGTTGCCAGGAGAACAGCACGTGGCTGACTGCATTGTGTAAAGTTTGGTGGAGGGGGGATTATAGTGTGGAGTTGTTTTTCAGGGGTTGGACTTGCCCCCTTAGTTCCAGTCAAGGGAACTCTTATGGCGTCAGCATACCAAGACATTTTGGACTATTTCATGCTCACAACTTTGTGGGAACAGTTTGGGGATGGCCCCTTCCTGTTCCAACATGACTGCGCACCAGTGCACAAAGCAAGGCCCATTAAGACATGAGTGAGTTTGGGGTGGAGGAACTTGACTGGCCTGCACAGAGTCCTGATCTCAACCCAATAGAACACCTTTGGGATGAATTAGAGCGGAGACTGCGAGCCAGGCCTTCTCGTCCGACATCAGTGCCTGACCTCACAAATGTGCTTCTGGAAGAATGGTCAAACCTTCCCATAGACACACTCCTAAACTTTGTGGACAGCCTTCCCAGAGTTGAAGCTGTTATGGCTGCAAAGGGTGGGCCAACTCAATATTGAACCCTACGGATGAAGACTGGGATGCCATTAAAGTTCATGTGCATGCAAAGACAGGCGTCCCAATACTTTTGGCAATATAGTGTGCCTACATGTTTTGCCTTTCATTTTTATTTTAAACCGAATGGATTGTTTTACAAGGGATTCACATGTAATTTAATGATGCAGAGGTATTTCGCTCAGTGTATA